CTTCTCACCCAACTCTTTTTAAAATTTGAAAGTAATACAAAACAAAAACATCCCCATCTTGAACTAAAACTAAAAAGCACCCAGCTTGGTAAAACAAACATCTACATGATTAGCATCAGAATTTACAATGGTAACATTTTAACATATATATTTGCTTCAGGTGTGTGTGTGTTTTTTTTTTTTTTAAATGTATTTTTATTGATTTCAGAGAGAGGAAAGGAGAAGGAGAGAGAGAAATAGAAACATCAATGATGAGAGAGTCATTGATCAGCTGCAGCCCGCAACCCGGGCATGTGCCCTGACCGGGAATCGAACCCTGATCGCCTGGATCCTAGGTTGATGCTTTAACCACTGAGCCACGCCCGGCCGGGCCAGATGTATTTTTTTTAAGAAATAAAACATTCCGCTCTTTCCAGCCAGCGTCAGGCCATGAAACCTGGGGCAAGTGACAGCCCCACCACAAGAAGCAGAAATATGAGCTGGGATGCTCTGCTGCCAACACTAAGATTGGCTCGCACCACGTACACATGGTCTGCGTGTGGGGACGCAACAAGAAGTGCCACGCCTTGAGGCTGGACGTGGGCGACTTCTCCTGGGGCCCGGGGTGTCGTACGTGCAAAACAAAGATTATTGATGTCTGCAACACATCCAACAACACACTGGTCCATCCAGAGGCCCTAGCGAAGAACTGCCTCATGCTCAACAGCACATGATACCCACAGTGGTTCAAGTCCCGCTAGGCACTGCCTCTGGGCCGCAAGAATGGGGCCAAGCTGACGCCTGAGGAGGTAGAGATTTTAAACAAAAATGATCAAAGAAATGCCCAAATCAGCAGCCTCCTGGAGGAGCAGTTGCAGCAGGGCTAGCTTCTTGCATGCATTGCTCCAGGACCAGGCCAGTGTGGCTGAGCAGATGGTTATGTGCTCGAGGGTAAGTGCTGGAGTTCTAGCTGAGGAACATCAAGGCCCAGAAAGGCAAATAAGCCCTGGTTCCTCCTACCTTAGCTCATGTAATAAAGATGTTCACTCTAGAAAAAAAAAGAAGAAATGAAACGTTCCAGTTACCCTGGGACTTCTCCCTATTTTTTCACCAACTTCCGTGGGTGTGTGTGTGTGTATCCAACCTGATGCACATACAGTCATATCTTACTCTTATTGTTGTTTTACTTTGCATTTCCCTAATTCCTTTTGTTCCCATCCTGTTGACTTCCTTTGTGGTTTGTGGGTTCCAGGTTATCAAATGAGCAGAAGTGGGTTGGGGTGGGCGGAGGTCACTTTCAAGCTGCCGAGGGTGTAGTCTGACTCCTGCGTGGGCCTGGAGCTCTCCACGCATTCCTGGCCTCCTTCCCTTCCTAAACGGTTTTGAGCACACTTGCCAGGCCAGATCCAGTACCCTCAGGACTGAAACAAAGTGTGGAGACACAGGGTCACCCTCCCTGCCCAGCCTCACCTGAGCTCTGAAGGCTCTGTGAGGAGCAGCAGAGGGCTCCCTGGGTGCCCATGCTGGTGTGCTATTCTCTAGGTCTTGGGTTGGAGAGTGCCAGTCAGGAGAGCCTTGGGTCAGGGTGCTCTGGCATTTCCAGCTGCATCAACTCCTATGAGGACCATGGGTGTTCCCATGGTGGGGGCTGTCTTTGGAGTCCCGGCATTGCCCCTTCCTGGCACACACCGTGCCCTCCACTTACAGAAGAATATGCCACCTGGTCTGTTTGGCTCCTCTGTACTTGACAAACCAATGACTATTTGGAGAAAAGACAAGTTTGAAGGTAAGGGGATGACAGACATAATGGGAAAGAGGGATGGGGAATGGGGTGCAACTGAAGGAGAAAGTTTGAACTCACAGGGCATCCCTTGGCCTTGGGAAAATAGGGAGAAATACCACGGTGCTGGACTGAACTGAGCACCAGGGGTCACTGCCCCTGCAGACTATGAATCAGGTCAACTGGGATATGGCAACAGCCCATGATTCAAAATGTGACGCTGGGGAATCATCCAGAGCAGTGGGCATGCAGGAGGCATGCCAGTTGCCATTTGAAAGACACACTTCTAGCACATGGGAATGACACTTACCTGAGATCCTTTCCCACTTGAAAAGCATTAAAAAGTCATAATCTGCAAGTCCAGAGAGTGAGCAATCTGACTTACCAACCCCTTTACTTTCTTTTGCAAAGCATTAAAGTCATTAACTTCCAGCAAGCAGGGAAAGCAGCTCCTCTTCTGAAAAGTCTTACTAATCAGCAGCGACAAGACCTTGTCTTTTTGGCAGCGCTAAATCATAAAGCGCCACACTGCTGCTAAGCTATGGGGCCATCCTGTCAGAGTGTAAGTTAAGAAAAATGGGACCTCCTGGCATGCCCGCTGCTCAGAAGCCTGTGATAGCTCCACACTCTTGATCAGCTATGATCTTAACCCTGCGGTATGAGTTTCTGCTGCCCTTTCACCATCTTAATCAACTGTGTGTTTTCTACTATCCACTGGATGACATTTTACCCCATCGTCATCTATTCACTCTACTCTTCATATCTTCCCCTTCCCCTTGCTGGCCCCTCCATTCATCTTGCCCACCTCTTCCCAAGCCTCCCTGTGTGGACTCTGCACCTGGTACATAATAGTAGTACTTTTAGTAGCACCCAACATTTGCACATCCCTTAGGCTATCCAACCACACCCTCCACATCTGATTGAAAGTTCAGCTGTTTGAATTTTACCAGACACACTCCTCTTATCTCTTTAGCCACTCCAGCATTGCTTCAGTACTTATGTGCTGCATCTTTGTTAATCGTATGTGCCCATCTTTGCCTGCACACTTAGAGGTGTGTGCGGGTGCCATGTCTCCCCCCTAAGTTTATTCTTTTCTTCCCATCTCTGCATCTGTGTGCAGACACTCAGGTAGGTGACAGCATGTGACATGTCAGTTGCAAATATTTATCAAGCACTTATGTGCCAGACATTGTGCTAGGTGCCACCTGCATGGGCCTAGTACTTAGACTCTAGTAGGAAAGAGAGACATTCAGCAGCTAAATGAATCATTGTAGGTGAGCAAAGAGCCGGGAAGTAGAATGACAGATGCTTTGGGAATATGTGTCTATGGGGTGGTTGGAGACCTTTCCCCCAGGAAGTAATGTTAAACTGACACCTATGGGGGTAGGAATTGGGAACTAGGCAGAGTTGGGGAACAAATCATCCTGGCAAAGGGGACAGCAAGTGCCCAGACTGTTGAGTGGGGACAGCACAAGCATTTGGTTATGTGCCAAAAACGGTGCCCAAACCTGACACATTTAGAAGGTCTTTGGGACTGTCTCTTGACCAGCTCCTTTGCTCTTGGAATATCCTGCCTGATAAGAGCGTCTTTGTACCTGGGAGCTTGGCCAGGCTAATGTGGGTGTGTGGTGAATGCCTATTTTTGTATGCACAGGTTCCTTTGGGCCCTGCTCTATCAGCCTGACCTCCATGGAGACTGAGTGGCTAAGGTCAGTCACGCAGGTGCTGCATGCCTGTGACTGGACCCAACAAAAACCCCAGGCACCAAGGCCTAGGTGAACTTCGTGGCTGGCGATATTTCTTGTGTTGTTACACACGCTGTTGGCAGAAGGAAGCACTGTCCACACAATCCACTGGGGGAGGAGAACTGGGAGCTCATGCCTGGTGCCTCCTGGGCTCTCCCTCTCCTACATGCCTTTCTCTTTTGCTGATTTTAATGTGTATCCTTTCACTGCAACAAACCATAATTGAGGGTATAACAGCTTTTCTGTGAGTTTTTCTAGCAAATCATCAAACCTGGGTGGTCCTGGGGACCTCAACACAGGCAGAACAGAGAGAATAGAGGCTATGGGGGAGGGGAAAGCATGAGGTGAGGGAGGAGATGGAGGAAGGGATTGGATTCTTCAGGGCTTTATAGGTCATGGTCAAGAATGACAGCTCTGTCTGTGGGCTTGATCCCATGTGGTTACTTTATTAATTCTACTCCATGGCCCTAGGTTGCACCCAGCCCCAACTAGATCTCACAAAAGGTACCTACAGAAACTATGCAAATCAGTAAATTTTCTTGGAGTGGGGTTGGAGGAGCCCAACGGCACATAAAACCTACTGAAGGAGGTGAGCAGTGTCACCTGGGGTGACTCTACACCAACTACTTCCATATGGCCCACCTTGGGTTTGGAGCAGAGTCACTATCAGTATATGTTGGTAAAGAAACAATGGTGCTTGTTATAAAAGCTAGGGGAAAACAATCCCAGAACTGTTTGCCATACACATACTGAAAATTCAGAGGTGTCCTCACCAATTTGTTTCATTACCAAATGTCCACGGCAACAGAGTAAGTGAAGTTTTTGAGTGGTTGGAGCAATTTATTGGCACACAGGCCTGAGTTATCAAGGTTGAAAATAAATCATCGACTTCAGGCATGGACGTGCACCAAAGTGTTTCTCAAATTTCTGCTTGCTTGGACAAACATGCTGCCTTCTCCAGAGTATGCCTTGAATCCGTAACAGCCAGAGAAAATTTAAAGTAATGGAAGGAGTGCTTATGTAACTCATTTTTAAATCAACAGGGACTATGCTTTAGGTGGTGCAGGAAGCTGGAGGCAGAAGCCTGTGCGGGTTGATAACCATGCTGCAGCCCGGTCTTGCAAGTCGGAGCATCACGGCCGGAGCCCGGGCGGCAGCCTGGGGGAGCTGTGCAATCACACAGCTCTACTGACAGCTTGCGAGCCCAGTGCTGCGATTCTGGGGAACACAGATGCTGTTATATATTTCCAATGACAACAACGTCTCTTCTCTCTGCTCCTAAGACAGAAGGCAGTTTAGTCCAACTCAAGTCTGAATCCTTTTCTAGCTATGTGACCCTGGGCATGCTGCTCAACTCTGGGCCGCAGTTCACTCATCTGTTCATTATAATAAGAACTGACCCATAGGGTTCTTTTGAAGACTAAATGAGACAATGTCCATGAAGTAGTTGGGATAGTGCCTGGCATGCATTTAGGGCTCAAATAACAAAAACAAAAACAGAAGGATATTAAGGTTTTTAATAAATCATGAGACATAAAAAGATACTTTGAGGGCTCAATGCTAATCACATGTGCCTTAAGACTGTCATGCTGGGTAAGGATGAACATGTGTGCTGAGTTAGACAACAGTGGCTGTCACAGAGTGGCCTGATGAGTCAGCTTTGCTATTTTGGACTAAATGCTTGGGCTGCACTTGGCTTCAGTTAGGTGGAGGTTGCTCTCTGGCCTCCTGAGATGAAGAGAGTGGACATTGGAGGCTGTGCTGATGAGATGACCCTTGAAGCTAAGCTTTGATCATGAAGATGGACTTTCCCGTGTAACTGGAACCAGGCGCAGGCCTTGGCAAGCAAGGTGGGAGGAGCATGAGGGTGCAGTTATCACTTGGGTTTGATGCCTGCTCCTTCACACAAGTGTGAGGCACTGGGCAAGTTAGTCATCTCTCTAAACCTCAGTTCCCTCATCTATAAAAAAGAAAAAGATGTCTGATTTTCAGAATGGCTGTAAGGATAAAATGATGTAACACAATGCATGTAAACACTAGACTGTAGGTGCTTCATAAATATGACAATTATAATCGTACAAGTAAGCAAAGTATAGTCACAACAAAGTGTGAAATGTATTAGTGGTAACTGATACTGGTTTGTGACAAAGCAATCCTGTGACTAAATTAGTTTCCTTCTTAGAAAGAGTGGCAAGATACATACCGNACTGGTTTGTGACAAAGCAATCCTGTGACTAAATTAGTTTCCTTCTTAGAGTGGCAAGATACATACCANAGCAATCCTGTGACTAAATTAGTTTCCTTCTTAGAAAGAGTGGCAAGATACATACCAGTTAGACTTGAGGCTGGACAAATGAGTGCAGTTCATTCTGGGAAATAGTTTATGGTTTGGATCAAGTCCCTGCCCCAAGTGACATGCTCACCCTTGCCCTGGGAAGATGTGGCCTGGGACCTAGAACCCAGAGCCGGAGGAGAGCTGTAGGTGAAGCAGAGGTGGGAGAGCCAGGCCAGCGAGGAATGGTTTCAAGGGAGAGTCTGGCGGGTGCTCCTCCTGTCCTGACTCCAGTGGCTTCTGCATCAGAACAGTTTTCTGGGAGAGGAACCCAAGAGGTGATGGTGCAGAACCCAGATGATATGGAGGGATGCTTCTCACAGGGACAAGTTTCCCTTTAGCAGGGAACTTGGATCACATGCCAGAGAATAACATGAATAAACTGTAAAAACATGGGGGCGGGAGTCAGCATTACTGCAGCTGTGCCCACCAGCAACTCACTGAGAATAAAGCACCGCTAAGTGTAGGAAGTTAATAGTGACTAACGCCGTCCCACTGTCCCGGGAACCCAGCCTGGGAAGGGGCAGGGACTGGGGCTGAGTGGTAGACATTGCTCAAAAGGTTAACGGTGTGGGGGGGTGTTTAGTTTGGCCCCTTCTTCCCCATCAAGGTGTGTGCGTGCACAGGAGAAATTCCCAAGTTTGTTCCCATCTGTACTCCTGCAGGAAACAAAGCCTATGGCCGCATCTGGTGCTTGCTGATCTGATGCAGCGGTTGTCACATGGGGCTGACTGTGTCCTCTCAGGGGACATCTGGCAATGTCTGGAGACATATTTGTTGCCACTTTCTTGGGGGGTGGCATTCCACTGGAATCTGGTGGGTAGAGATCAGGGATGCGGGAACACCCTACAGTGCACGGGACAACCCCCAACAAAGAAGTGTCCAGCCCAAACACCCACAGTGCTGACCCTGAGAAGCCCCAGTCAGAGCAGGGCAGAATGGGGAAGGCTCATGGCTGGGCTGTGATCCCTCTTGGTGGTCCTATACAGAAGGGGGGTGAGCAGAAGGCAAAACATTTGGGGGTGGGAATGAGCCCAAAGGGAACCTCAGACTAACCTCCCGAGGTAGATGGAAGGATAAGGAGAGTTTTTTATTCCCAGTCAACTCTTACTTAAAAATCAATTTCCTTAAGCACATAATTATATGTTTATTTCCCTGAGGAACTCTTGAGGTAGAGGAGACCTGCTTAAAATATGGGGATGGAGGCTGCATGTAGGGCTTTAATGATGGAGGCTAAGGAAGAAGGCAGGTCAGAATCCTCTCCTGCAGTGCAGAAGATATGGGGAGGGTGGAGCAAGGTAGGAACAGAGGACAGAAAGTGTGAGGACCTGCTGTAGGACCTCAGCAGGTCAGGATCAGAGCAGACGTGAACTCAGGGGTGCAGTGGCAAGCCTCCCACCTGTCTTCACGTCCTGATAACGGAGGGAAGGCATGCAGGAAGTGGGCAATTTTACACCCTTCCTGCCTTTACGTGGTATCTTCCTTTGGAAGATACTCTGGTTTGCATTAGGAAACAGAATGAGCCATGCTGTTGAGGGAGGGGCAGGTGAGAGTAGGCAGGGTGGAGGAAATTTTGATAAGAGGCATGTAAGGGTTTCAGTGCATCCTCTCTACATACTATTTCCCACTCCTCTGTTGCAGCATGAATGCCTGGAATTGTGGGTTCCCGTCTTTGGGAGATATCTTCACCCTGGTAGGCTAGGTGGGGACCGAGTGATTACTCAANGTTTCAGTGCATCCTCTCTACATACTATTTCCCACTCCTCTGTTGCAGCATGAATGCCTGGAATTGTGGGTTCTCGTCTTTGGGAGATATCTTCACCCTGGTAGGCTAGGTGGGGACCAAGTGATTACTCAGATTTGACACACAGAGGAAAGGTGTGTGTCTGTGTATCTTACAGCCTCTCTCTTGCCCCTAGATTGGCAAGACTCTGGCTAATATGCCTTTTGTGTAAGAGAGGACTGGGTGGGGGTTGAGTTGGGTGGGCAGCAGTGGAAGGGAGAAAGATGTAGTGAGGAGCTGGCGGCTTCGGCCTGGCTCTGGCTTAGGCTACAAGGGGTTAGGGGGGCTCTTGTTTCCTTCCTCTGTGTTTCCACTGAATCTGGAATGCATGTCTGCCATAGTCCCCATTACATGTGGTTGGACTCTGCCCACCTCCTTCAGGAGGCTGGGAGTCATCTTTTAGGTGGGTACCCTCTGCATCTAACAAAGCCTGGTACACACACACATTCAGCACAAATTTCATGATGAATTTCTACCTTATCCAGCATGGCCTGCCACAGCAGAAGAGAGGACAGGACTTCAGGTAGAAGTTATAGCAAAAAGAGTCTATTTGACTAGTCTATTCCATTTAGCCTGTCTCTCAAAGCTGAAAGTGTGGTGGTGGTGCTGGCAGAATGGAATCTAATGGGGAAGTGAAAGTAACGTCTGAGAAACATGGCCATGATCTGCACGTTAAATGAATCCTTCATTTAATCATGGAACATCCTCTCTGCGTAACTGCCCAGACTAGCTCAGTTCCAGCATTCCTTGGCCTGGGGTTGTGGGGCAGCAGAATGGGCTGAAGGCCACGGGTGAGCTGAGCACCCTGAGGCTGGTGAGAGGAACACAGCCCTTGAGAGATGAGCACAACATCCAGGCCTCCTCTGTCCTGAGAGGGCCAAGGGAATGACACACGAGGGGCACGTGGGCCTAGACAGAGGGGCTGCATTCATATGGGCCTCCTGGCCTGAGCATCAGGGACCCTGGACTTTGGGGGATTTGTGTCCTTTCCACTGACCAGCTCTCCAGAAGACATATCTCACATGTCCTCAGATAACAGGTACATAGAGTTTCAGCATCTTTAGGAGCTTTAGGATGTGTGTTGTAGTCCTGGTCCATCCTTCCACTTTCTAGAAGTGTAACCTTGAAACTCTGAGCATTAGCCACCTCATCCAAAGTGCCTTTCCAGTATCACAGGGCCACTGTGAGGCTCAAGTAAGTTGATGTGTAGGAGTGCTTTGTAAACTTACAACTTTGTAAGTTGATGTGTAAAGTGCTATGCAACATGAGCTGGTTCTTGTAAAGTTATTTATTCAAGGAAGCGGAAGAGGGGCCCCCACATCAATGCAGCTCCAGCCATCCCTTCAATCAGAGCCTGCCAGCAGGGAAGGGCGACTTCAGTCTCTTGAGGCAGCTGGGAGCTGAGGGCTTTAGACCACTTGCACATCTCTGGCCCCATCTAACACCCTGCACAGGGCAGTGAGGCCTGGCTGAAGGGTGCTGAAGCCCCTTATTTAGTTCGTTGGTAGAACTGGAAGACTGCTTTCTCCTGCTCATGCGTCTCGATTGAGCCGGGTCGAAGCCGCCGGATTTCAGCGATGGCGTCTCCTGCAGCCAGGCCCTGCTCCTTTACCAGGTAACAGGCCAGCATGGTGCCAGTGCGGCCAAAGCCCAGGGCACAGTGCACTCCCACAGCCTGTGAAGGGGGAGCTTGATGGGGTGGAGCCTGGTGCAGTCCCAACACTCCCCTGCCCCTCACTTAGGCCTGTCTCTTTTCCCTCTAGCTGCTTCTTCTGGGTCAGGCCCAGGACTCTGCACACCTCTCTCAGGGGCAGGAAGTGACATTAAATTCAGGGAGCGCTGTCCTGTACCCACCAACCAGCAGCAAAGTGGCTGGTGGAAGGTCTGGGTTCCTGGTTTGCCTTCCCACAACCATCTATCTACCTGCGCCGTCCAGTGTAGAAGGCACTGGCCTCATACTACTTGAGGACCTGAAATGCTGCTAGTCCAAATGGAGATGTGATGTAAAATGCAACCAGTTGTGAAGATGTAGTACAAAAAACAAGGAAAATATCTCAACTAAGAATTTATTTTATATTGATTTTACGTTGCAATAATATTTTTGACTTCCTGGGTTAAATGATATTATCAAGATGCATTTCTCCTGTTTCTTTGTTATCTTTTAAAATGTGGCTGCTAGGAACTTTAAAATGACATATGGCTCCATTATATTTGGACGAAGCACTGCTATGGAGACTGTTCAACAGCCTCCGCCTTCGACCCCCGCCCTTCCTCCTCCCCAGCTCTCCACGGATCCGGTCCTTCCTTCCCTCTCCACTCGCGGGTTGCGAGGCTGGCTCCTCCTCGCTCCTCCCCTCCCCACGCTTCAGGGTCCAGGCCCCCC